TTCCATTCTGACGCCTCGTCCAGCAAACTTACTTTCCAAATTTAAAATTGAAGCTTCTACATTATCAGAAAAGCTTTTGTCTTTTGCCCAATCTAATCTAGCTCAAGCTGTTGTCATTTTTTGATTATCATGCTGTTCATTTTCCATTTCCTTGTCAAATTCTAATTAGTTTTTATATTGCCGTGTCTCTGCAAATACGTAGTCGTTTGTAGATAGAGATGTTTCGAGCAGTGATCACTCCTACCCTCAGCCATCTTTCAGCGTTTTATTTTTTTTCTTTACTCACCAATTCTCAAAAACTCGTTCCACCTTCCCTCTAAATTCGATTAATTTTAGCAAAAAATCTTTTAATCGACCTCCTGAGTCATCACGGCCTCGCTCCCAATTCTGGTGACCTTGGGACTCCCCTGTTTGTGGGTTTGAAGTTAATTTCGAGCGCCAGATGTATATATGATAAGTCAAAAATTAGTTCAAACAAAAATATTATCTTTATTTTCATGTATCTTCTTCTGTCTCATATTCAATAAAGTATGTTCAAATGTTGTTGAAGACTATACATGACCACTAATAGAGTTTTTCACTGCATAAGTTTGATTATTCGTTAATCTGATCATTCCTAATGTACTGATGTACTTTTGAAGACACGAAGAAAGTTGAATTTAGCACATCTTCCCCTCAGCAGAAGATATTCATTGACAATTACCGAAATACTTTTCATGACACGCAGAAGAAAATCTAATGGAAAATAAGTAAAAACAATGTTCTCTTCTCACAACGATAAAGTTTACAGTAAGGAATAGATATATTTTTAAATGCACACTTGATTAAGATACAGAGAAACGAAAAAGAACACGTAGGATATCTTATGTCAGGATTCGAGTATTTCCTGAAAGGATTCGTTGCAAACAACTTTCCAAGTAGACTTCGACGAGTTTTATACCAGCGCACCAATCATTCTGCTCCAGTTCCACCCCTCAAACGAATGAAATCCCCAAATACCAATAAGAAGCGTTTAAAATGCAGTCAATTCTCGAATAACCTGTCGCGATTCGCCCAGGAGTATTTTCCAACTAAGCCATTGAACTTTCAAAGTCGATCTCGTCGGGCTCTATCGAATGCACATCTTTGGAGCTTGATTCGCTGCTCCCCTCCCACAAAAATACCACATACAGGGTCCTGTTGAGGGTGTGGGTGCGTGGGGTGTGAGGTGTGGGTATGGATTTGGGTTGTGAACCGGTGGATTCTCTCTTCAGATTCACACTCACAACCATAGGTGTTCAATCCACATCCTTACACAGTTGAGTCCATTGCACTAACATTTTCTTATTTATTTCAGACCAATAAAAGTACTTCAGCACAGATTTCAACTTTGCCTAGCAACTAAATGCTCGTGTTATTCAATTTATTATGTATTTGAACAAGCAGCTTATTCCTTAACATGGCCATTTATACATTTATTTATTTATTATCACTAGGTCTTTATGATGATAACTATCTTTCTCAAATACGGTCGAGTTGATGATGTTAATAAATTACAGCAACAGGTAGTGACCGTGATAAATGAACAACATCAGGTTATGGTTATGGTCAAGTTAAGAATGAAGAAAGGAATTCAATTATAAATAAATTAGCTACAACAAAAAGAACAACATCAAAAACAGCTCAAATTTCTTCGATAATGTCCGAATAAATAGGACGAAATATCAGATGAACAAATGAAAAACAATTAGATATATATTTATATAAAAAAAAGAATTATTATTCTTTATTTGATATTTTTATATTTTTTTGCTGCATTTATTGCATTTATTGGATTGATATAAAAGTATCGGTCGATTTTTTTGGAAAATTTTGTACAACCGTCTAAGGATAAAATACATTCGGTGTTTTTTTTGCATATATGATACTACTTGAATAGTGCAATGAAATGACATTAATAGATGTTCTCAAACGTAAACATTTTAGATTATAAAATGTTCGAGATTCCTATTCATATTCGACATTGTATTTTGTATGAGTTCCAATTCGGAAACAATGCAAGCGTTGCTGCTCGCAATATATGTGCTGCTCTCGGCGAAGGTACAGTTGCTGATCGTACATGTCGTGATTGGTTCAAAAGATTTCCAGGAGGCGACATATCGTTGGAAGATCATCCGAGGTCTGAACATCCTGTCGAATCCGATGTTGAACAATTAAAAGTACTAATAGAAGACAATCCACAGCTAATCACTCGGGAGTTGTCAGCAATGTTAGGCTGCAACCGATCCACCATCGATCGTCATCTGCATCAAATGGGAAAAGTCAATAAGCTTGATACATGGGTTCCACAGGAATTATCACCGGACAGCATGTAACAGAGAGTCACCATTTGCAACTTTTTGTTGTCAAAGCACAGCCGATACAGGTTTTTCCAGAAAATCGTCACTGGGGAAGAGAAGTGGGTCCTCTACATTAATCATACACGCAAGCGCTAATGGATCAATTCTGAAGATATGCCGGAACCATAGTCGAAAAACGACCTGCATCCAAAAAGGGTGATGCTGTCAATTTGGTGGGATTTTCAAGGCGTTATCTATTATGAGCTTCTTCCTCCTAACACCACAGTAGACTCCCAGCTATACTGTGCACAACTCGAAAATCTAAAGGTGGCACTTAAAACCAAGCGTCCAGAACGACGAAAAGTTCGGCTGCTTCATGATAACACCAGACCTCATACAGCAAAAGTCACACGCAAAAAGCTGGAACAACTCGACTGGGAACTCATACCTCATCCGCCATATTCACCTGATCTGGCACCCTCCGATTATGACTTGCTCCGTTCGCTTTGCAATCATCTGCTCCAAAAACATTTCGATGATGAAGCACAGATAAAAACGGACCTCGAAAGTTTCTTTCAATCTTTGTCTACGAAATTCTTTGAAGATGGCATTCTAGATTTACCTAAGAGATGGGAGTATGTCGTAGATAACGATGGCAAATATGTTGCTGATTAATGTTATTCTGTTTCAATAAAAATGTGAAACATTAAAAAGAAAAAAATCGGCGGATACTTGTGCATTAACCCGATATATAAACAGAAAATTCTGTATTGTATGGATATTGCAAAATGAATTAATCTTTTTTAAAATATTGCTATAATAGTTATGGGT